CTTGGTTGCTGCTTACTGTAATTGAGGGAGAAGAATTGTATTGCAATTGAGGTTTTTTGTGAACACGAAGTATAATGGAGGGGACCGGCATGACTTCCATGGAAAAAGTCATTTTTATCATTCAAAATGCCTGCTTCGGTGGTGAATGCCTCTGCAGAAAATAATTAGAGGACCCCTACAGCCATCCCCCCCAAATTGGATACACTTACTGTCATAAAGTGGATGAGATGAATTTGAGTTATTCGATGTGATGTACCAATATGAATTGTCAGTGCCATCTACTGGCTGCAAATAATAATTGGTCTCCTACATTCAGAAAATGTCAGACAAATACTAAATCCACATAAGAGAATTCTGAGGGTGCTTGAAAGTACAAATAGTTTGCCTTCATAGAACACCTTTTTACATAAAGTGTTTGAGTGCTTTACAGAATGAAATGCGCATTATACAATCCAACCACTATCAAAATGATCCCACCTATGTGGTGGAAAGCAGTAACTATTCATAAACATAGCAACACTAAGTTTGAGGCAAAGATTGAAGAAAATTAGGAGACCCAAGTGGAACCTGCAGAAGGAATTCAAAGAGGCAGAAAGTAATTTCCGTAGCTGGAATTTAGACAAGGCACTGGGGCTAACCTCCCTATTCTTACAAAAACAGGAGTTGGATCTCTAATGATGAACAGCTGTAGTATGTTTGTCTTAAGTCTTCTCCAAAAGACTCTGCTGGGGAGTCCCCCTCATGCTGTACTACCCACATCCAAAAAAACACTATCTCAAGCCTTACCTACACAGGCTTTTTCTTAATCTTTCAACCTTGCACTACCAGCAGTGCAGCTCAAAGACCGCTTGGTACTAATGTACACTGACCTGCCACCAGGTCTTCTAGAGCTGCTTTTAAGCAGACATAGACCACATGGTGATAAAAAATTCAAGACTGCTACACAGGGACACTTGCTGTGTGTGGCTAGCACCCATGGAGTTGCATCTCCAATGGAGAAACTCATTGTTGACAATCTCCAGCGTGCCGTCTACTGATCCATCACCTCTGCAGAAACATTCTATTCAGTCTCCTAGCCCAGGCTTATTTAGCTTTGTGAAAGCTTACAGGTTCTCACAATGTTATGTGATATGACGGCAGAGACCTCTCCCTCCTGAGGGAAACCGTTCTTCTGTTAAAAGGTGGTGGTGATTTTGGATGGTTTTCATGCTTTCATGAATATTACAAAGAAGCGCTTGGTGGTAGGGATACAGCTAGTAGGTGGAGATAAGTTTTGCATCTCAGATATAATTGTAGATTACATTGGCAGTTGTTACCTATTGATGTTGATCTTTCATTCCTGTGGACGGGATGTTATGTTCGGAGTAAGACTTGTGAAATCTGGAGGCAGGTTGGGGGGAAATGGCTTGCACATCAGCAAGCCACAACACGAATACTGAGTGACAGCACTCAACCAATGAAACTCAGTATAAAACCATAACATTGTCAGACCATCTCTCATTGGAGGAGCAAACTTTGAGGTCAGGCCAAATGACCTATTGACTAAAAAATGCTGCTGAGTGACCTTTGTGTGGATGCCTCCTACAACACACTGCCCTTGTGCTGTCTTTTCAAATTGTGATGTATGTTTTTGAGGTCAATAAAAGCTGCTCATGAGGTTTTTCTGGCATGTCACACAAAAGCCTTTCCCCCAGTAGTTCAAAAGTTTGTTGCTGGGAACTGCTCAGCAGGGGCAGATAGAAGAACTCTATTCATGGATCCCCCTCAGACGTTTGGAGTTAAGTTGATTTGTCTTGGACTCTTGTTTTTGCAGCTGGCTGAGAAGTCAGCAGTTTACCTATTGCGGCTATTCCATGAGTTGGAAACTGGGCAGTGCACGTCAGAGTGCATTTTTGCTTCTCCCAAATGACTGCTGAAAACTATGGTTTGAATGTCTTGTTGACCATACAGCACCTCTTTGCTTCCAAGAATAGACATGACTTTTACTATGTTGGCAGCACAACTGTCTTAAGGATGGGGTCAGGATTTAAAGTAATGAGGACAAGAGATGGCAAGTAAATGTGTTACAAGCAAAGATTTACCCCCCAGTCGCCTATGTTTAGGAATGGGGATGCCGGATTCTAGCTCAGCTAGGGTGACCAGATGTCCCGATTTTATAGGGAAGATCCTGATTTTGGGGTCTTTTTCTTATATAGGCTCCTATTACCACCCACCCCCTGTCCTGATTTGTTACACTTGCTGTCTGGTCACCCTGGGCTCAGCTAGAGCATAGTTTCACTGATTGGTAATAGGGTCAGGTATTGCCTTTGTGTGAGGGGTACTCACCCTGCTTCTGTCTTGCTGTTTCGTTGTCATTTTAGAAAAAGTGATCCAAGGATGAGCAGAAGAAAAGGCTCAAAACCAATTTATTCTGTTTGGAAAAACCATTACCGGTGCACTAAACTTCCTAAAAAATATACCTTGAGCTGCATCTGAAAAGCAACTGTGTATAAAATAAATAGTTGACCACTGGAAGTGGGCAGCTCAGAGTTATTTTTGTGAAAATAGAGCCCTATTGCCATAAAATAAAGTGACACTGGTCCTCAGCATATATGGAGTTATTTATTAGGCCCTATGTGCATGCAACCAGCATGTTGTCAATCTGTCTCTGTGAATCTGCATTGAGGACCACTAATTTTGGCTAAAACTGAAGCTCAGGCTTTGAAGTCCAGTTTAAAGTTTGCTTTTACATTATAAAACAAGCAGGAAAAACACAAAAACTCTTTTTAATGAAGAACAGCCACATGTCTTAAAAAGAATGTCAACAATTAATCTAACACACAAGGAAAGGGGATGAACAAAATTACTGGAGGAGAAACAGGCAGTGCTAGAATACTTTTTCTCATTTCTGTTTTGAAATTTGTCCCTTTATAAGGATATTGTACATTTCTTTACTGGAAGAGTGTACAGTTTAATGAAAAGATCTAAAATTAATCTAGTTCAGTGATACTCAGATCTCAGTGATTAGGGAACCAAAGTAGCAATCAACATTACCCAAAGAGCCACAGTAGTGTGAATTCATTGTTTCATTTACTATTTTATATATATTACAGCACATGGTATTAAAACACTGTTATTTTGTCCAGTGAGAAAATATATATAATATTCTCACCGCAAAATGACTGACCAAGTATTCTACAATTGGTTAATAGGAAACACATTAAAGAGCCACTTACAGCTCCCAAGCGTCAATCTTAGCATCCCTGATCTAGTTAAACCAGTACAAACCCTAATATAGATGTATTTAAACTGTTTGAACCTTGCTAAATTTGTATTTCTTTTCATTGGTAATTTACCAATTTAAAATAAATTATTTATACACCAGGGTTGGTTATAACAGCAGTTTAAATGCACCTATATTAGGGATTTGCACCAGTTTAAGTAGATTTAGTTAAAGTGGTGGGGAACTTGTCTAGTATAGACTAACCCCAAGTGTCCCCATCTGTAATAAAAGGCATGGACCTTACTGAAATGTGATTGAGCAGATTGGGAAATGTGACTTGGTGGGGGGGAGCAGTAAACAATAGGGATGCTGTGCAAGCTCCCAGAAACCCAAAACAATGCTGTAAGGAGGTGCGTCACCAGCAATAGTTCATCTGGTTTATGGTTTTACAAATGCTATGGGACAGTTCTGTGGGATTTCTGCTTCTTTGACACGGTGTAAATGGGGACAGGATTTACACAATCTGTATGCTCCAAGTGCAACAGTTGTAAATTTCAAGAAGCTGACAATGACAACACTGCAAACTCAGCCTGCAGGATTTTAAGTTGTACAGGATTTACCATACTAATTAGAACTTTCACCCACAATTCTGCAGTTTGTGATACTGTGGCAAATAATTAAATGGGAAACAGGACAAAAACAAAACAATTAATATAACTGGAAATACCCCAATGCACTAATTCTCCGACCAGTGAATGTAGCATGTGGATTGTACACCAAACTACTTTGGAGGCACATGTGAAGGAAAAAACACTGAAGAATGGATAAATAGATTGATTCACCGATATTTTATGTAGTGCCATAGATGCATGTGGACCTTACCAAAATAAATAAACATGGAGTCCTTGCCAGGAAGAGCTTTCTAAGGGCCTGATCTTGCAAGCCTTTACTTACAGGAGTAATCTTTACAGTTTAGAGTAGTCCCATTGATTTCAACTGTGGTAGTAGTAGTAGTAATAGTAATGGTTTTAGCAACACAGATGCTGTTAGCTCACATAATGTTGAACAAAGTTTTTCCTGCTCTACACTGAGTCCAAACCGTGTTCCGCATAATGTCAATTAACATTATAGTACAGAGGTGTTCATCAATAGTAAAATTTGCTCACCTCAATCAGGCCTGACAGGTTGAATTAACTTTGAGAACAAAATTCCTGTCTGCTCATTGACAGGTTCTTAAAAATGTAGGAGTACACTGCACAGCAAATAGTTGCATTTCTGTTAGTTACAATGCACCCCTGCTCTATACAGCACATCATATACACTTCTTAAACATTTAGGCTATTTTCAAGAAGTTTACATTCATCTTAATAACTGTGTCCATTCTGGAGTTCTATATAGAGAATGAGACAATACACTGGGTTTTGTATGTGAGCTGTAGAATATATGTGGTTTTCAATTTACAGTTTAGACAGCGTTTTCAGAAAGCATCTAGGGCAGTGGTTCTCAGACTTTTGTACCGGTGACCCCTTTCACACAGCAAGCCTCTGAGTGTGACCCCCCCCCCTTATACACTAAAAACACTTTTTAACATATTTAACACCATTATAAATGCTTGAGGCAAAGTGGGGCTTGGGGTGGAGGGTGACAGCCCACAACCCCCCGTGTAATAACCTCGCGACCCCCTGAGGGGTCCCGACCCCCAGTTTGAGAACCCCTGATCTAGGGTTTATATTTTGAATAAATCAGCCATGATCTTTACAGAAAGGTTTTAAAAGATGAACTAATTTTACCACACCAGATGTGAAAACCTCAGTTTCCTGTCGACGTTGCTCTTCTCTGAAGCCACGCTGAAATGGTGTGTCTGGGTTGATCAGAAGTGTTGGCTTCCTTTACAAAGAACTTGCAGCAATCACTAAAACAACTATGGAAAATGTTAATGTAACACCAAGTGATGAAGATGGAGAAAAGGTGGCCTCCCTGTGTGTTGTATTTGTTCATCCTAACACATCGTGTTGCTGGTAAGTAAGTGTTTTATGGACTGAGCTTCTTTAATTTGGAAAAACCTGTTTTAAATTTCACATTAAGGCAAAAATCAAACTGCTAACAATGATATTGTGTTTCAAGGCAACTTTTTCATAACTACTGTAAGATACAGATTACTACTATTAAATGTTAACTAGATGTACTGACTAGCAAGTCAGCTTCTTCAAAGTTGTAAGCCATTTTCACAGTTTCTCTCATTGCAAAGAACTCACTCATTTTAACAGAATATATGTTTTAGAAATGAGTGCTTCCCTCCTAACTGTGTGGGTTTTTTAACTTCCTCTTCCCCTCCCCTCCAAAACATGACCATTAATTGCAGAACCATGATACTGACTGCTTTGAAATCCTGGAAAGATTTTTTCCCGTCTGTGCACTGTATTAAGGGCTTGGAAGACAAGGCTATCACTGGGAGTATGTCTCTACAGCAGCTGGTAGGTATGATTCCCAGCACGGAAGGACAGACACACACTAGCTCTGTTCAAGCTAGCACATCAAAAAAGAGCCATGTGACCCTGGTAGCAAGTGCAACAGCTCAAGTTAGCTGACTGAATACAGTCCCACCTGGACCTAGGGTGACCAGATGTCCCAATTTTATAGGGACAGTCCCGATTTTGGGGTCTTTTTCTTATATAGGCTCCTATTCCCCCCCCCCCCACCGTCCTGATTTTTCACACTTGCTGTCTATGGAAATGTTAATGTAACCTGAACCCCCTGGCTACATACCTGAGCTGCCACCCGCACTGCCGTGGCCACATTGCTCTTCTTAGCCTGCTAGATAAACCAGAGCTAGTATACGTATGTCTACTCAAGCTGGGAATTACACCTCCCAGCTCCTATGTAGATATACCCCCAGGGCGAGGCATTTTGAATATTAGAATAAGACTTTAGAGAAGGGAGAGCAACTTTGTCTGTATCAGGAGAGCTTAATCAAAACCAGCCTTGTTAAAAATTAGAGTGGGGCCTGAAACTCATAACGCTTCATTTGTGCATCTTGAATTTTGAGGTATTTAAAACCCAGGGCTGAGTGTGCATATGAAATTGTGACTTGAGTCCAATTTCCAATTAAAAAAATAAAGATGTTCCAGGTATTGCAAGATGTATCTGAGTATGTTTATCAATGATTGCATATAGATGAGCAGGTCGGGGAAATTTCCTACTGCTGTAAGGGAAATTGATGATGATAAAAATGAAAAAAAAAAGTAAGTTTTATTTAGATAGAGAAGAAAAGAGCCAAGTAAGATGACTAATGAAAATCCATATTACATACAGAGAAACAATTGTCCATATTAAATCTCAACAAAACAGAAGTTTCGGAAAAATCCTGCAGTTGTTTATCCAGGCTAAACTCCCATTAAACTTCTCTGCAGCTACAGGTGTTCTGCCCTAATAAAAATCAGAGCACTGAGGAAAACAGAACTGGAAGAGACCTTGTGGGTCATTTAGTCCATTCCCTAATATGGGAGACAGTCCTATCATATAATCCCATTCATAAATTTATCAAGCTCCCTTTTAGAACTTCTTAGGTTGTTTGCCCTCAAAACTCCTATTGGAAAGCTGTTCCAGAACCTCCCTCCTCTGATGATTAGAAAGTTTCTTTTAATTTCCAGCCTAAATTTAATCATGCCCAGTGCACACCGATTTATTCTGGTGCCAACATAGTCCTTACACTTTAAACTTAAGTGTCTGAGTTGCCCATGCTGCACGATACTCTGAATGGCTGGAACATCTTGCAAGAAAAGGGGTTAAGTATGGACATACGGGCATTTTAATTTTTTTTTAAATGTTGGGGTAAAATTGGAGTTGTTAAAACAATTGGCAAGATTTCAGTGCCAAGATGAGAGAGCTGCTGCACGCCTTTAGATAAAATGGACTCCATTAATTTGGTGCTGTGTTAAGCAATTAATAAAAAAAAGTTGAAGCATTAAAATGTGGCTTGATGTGGCTCTTTGTTCTAATATGTGCTATTAAAAATAATTTTCATTGCAAGTTATCTGTCTGGAAACTACCTAAGTGATGCTACCTCTTGAATATAACAGATGCCTTTAGTAAGTAGCGGTCTTAGATCAGCCTCTGTCATCATACTGGACAGATACTGAGATTTTTATTTAGGCAAATCTTCCACTTAAATCTTAACTTGCCCACCTTAGTCCCCTTTATTTTACTGTAAAGGATGTACATGATGGGGGGTATTAAAATGCTGGCGCTAAGTGCATTTAACCTGACTATTTAGTCACATTGCTTTTCATGCTCTATTCACTCGGTTTCATATTTTGATTATTTTAGTACCAGTTTTTCTGCAACAAGCTCCTTGTGGGTTCACAGACCTGCCCACACTGCCCCAGTCCTGCAAGGAGTTCATTCGACTGTAAACCCTTCAGGGCCTTCATCTTGGCTTAATAGCTGTCAGTATAGTTCCTAGAGCAGGGGTCAGCAACCTTTCAGAAGTGGTGTGCCGAGTCTTCATTTACTCACTCTAATTTAAGGTTTCACATGCCAGTAATACATTTTAACATTTTTATAAGGTCTCTTTCTATAAGTCTATAATATGTAACTAAACTATTGTTGTATGTAAAGTAAATAAGGCTTTTAAAATGTTTAAGAAGCGTCATTTAAAATTAAATTAAAATGCAGAGCCCCCCCCAGACTGGTGGCCAGTACCCAGGCAGTGTGAGTGCCACTGAAAATCAGCTCGCGTGCCGCCTTCGGCACCTGTGCCAAAGGTTGCCTACCCCTGTCCTAGAGCACTATTAGCGCTGCATAAATGACAAATTAGTTCACTGCTGCATTACATGTCCTCGGTCTGCGCAGGCATTTAGGGGACTGTAGAACATAGAATCATAGAACTAGATGGCACCTCGAGAGGTCATCTAGTCCAGTCCTCTGCACTCATGGCAGGACTAAGTATTATCTAGACCATCCCTGACATGGTTACATATAACATAAAATCAAATTGCTATGTCCCTTTAAACATTCATAATGAATAAAATGACTTGAGGGAGTTGGCTGCAGGGTGTGGGGAGGCACAAAAAGCTTGGAAAAGAGATGTAATAAATATGGCTCTGACCGTAGCTACACCATTTGGGAAGTGGGGGGAGGGGCGCATAGTGAGAATTTTCAAGGTGGTCTTTAAAGATGGGGAGAGGCTAAAAAGAATGATAAGGGGGAGTGAGCCCTACACCTGAGGGTGCTCATACATATCCATTTTTTCTGAAAGTTTCTCGTGACTGCCAAATACTTCATCGATCACCCTTTTATCTGTATGGCACTGTTTGGTTAAGTGGAGTTCTGCTGTAGGGGACTGCTCTGTGCAATGTCATCAATTGATAGCTACCTGGGAACTTCCTGCCTATGAATATGCTGCATGCCATGTCTCTTGGAACTCAACAGAGACAGTGGAGATAGATCACAGAGTTATTTTCCCCCAGGAGGAAAAAGAAAGAGAAAAGGTCAATTTCACGGTGGCAGCAGCTATTTAAAAAAAACAAAAACAAAAAAAACCCAGGCTGAAAACTTCTTTTCCTTTCACAAATGCATTAGATCTGTATTTATATGCTGCACAAAGGACCTCAAAGTGCCTCAGAAAATTAAACTGATATACAAACCATACATGAGGAGGCTGCTTGCTCCAACGGTGAAATGCAGAAGCTGCCTAGCAAGGTCCATGTAAAAGAACACCTTTTCCTATTGAAAGGGCAGGGGGAATTGAAAAAGGCAGAATGCAATTGGGCAAAACAGAATTAGCAAGCAGGATTAACGACTTCTTGGTTCTTGCAAAGAGAGCTGTGGAATAAGCAGTCCTGGCTTGTGCTTTACGTATCACTTGAAAGATCTCCACCTGCTAAGCTCCCCTTCCTCTTTGGGTAGCATGATGAGCGCTCCCCATCCTGTTCAAGCTACTTGAGCCACTGCTTTTTTTTTTTTCTCCAGTTCCTTTTCTGGAATCTGTACTAATGATTTACTACTTCCATCAATTGCTAAACCTTCTCACTGTACTTAATAGTACAGTACTGTATTTTAGGCCCCAGCTTATTGTTCTATAGGTGTGTGTCTCTCTAGTGAAGGCACCAAACGGTGTTGAGAAGATTTAAAAGGGAGTTGTTTATGAGCATTGCTTGATTTGACAATTTTTCTGTTTCTTTCTAAGGCCAGCTTGAAGGCACCGTGATAAACACAGAAGCAGTCCGTGCTTTCCCTGGCAGTGATGTGACTCTGGAATGCAGCATCCTGAGCACAGATGGGATCCACGTGACACAAACACAATGGTCAAAGATCGATGATACGCCACCCAGTAGAATAGCTGTATATCACCCTATGTATGGCATTAGATACTTACCTTTTTCGAAGACTTCTTATAACTATTCAGTGGCTTTCAATAAGACTCCCCGCCATTGCTGGGTAGATGTTAACAAGACTTGGAGTTCCCATGATGCCGGAGCAAACCAGGTGGAATGCCAACAGTGGAGTCTACATTTGCGTAATGTTAGTCTCTCACTCAGTGGGCAGTATGAATGTAGCTTTGCTACCTACCCATATGGGACAAAGGCTGCGGAAATTAATCTTACTATCAAGGCAGAAAGTAAGTGATATTAAGATACCTATTGTTTTTTCGGAACACTTAGGAAAAAAACAAAAACAAGTAAATGATGTGAATATTTTTGTCTGGCTAAATTCAATTTGCTCTGTGATTCCAGATGTGCACTTGTATTGTACTGCTGCTGCCTAGAAAAGTTGCTAACTCTGGTTTAGCTGTTGTCTGACAGCCTTGCCTTACCGTATGTAAACAGTGCCTGGTAAGGAGCATAGCACAATTTAACTTATGGGCAGGAATATTGGAGCAGGTTGATGGACGGAACCAGGTGAATGGCAGGGAGGAAGGATGATGTGTGTTCATTAGGGACAATGATGATATACTGGGCAGAGAATGGTAATTGGGAACCGGGCTGGGCCATGCAGCATCCTAGGGATGGAGGACACCTGTCTTCCAAACATACTATACTCTGTATGTATTGAAATTATTAGTAAAGAGACTGATCAATAGAGGGGCTGAACATCCTCAGTTCCCATAGACTGATGTGTGTGTTATTAATGCTGGGTGTCTTTGAAAACTCGGCTGCAATGTCTATGGGTAGCTACTTTCCTCAGTTGAAGGGTGGGTTTGGAAAATGGGAATTCAAACATTTTCTGAGCCAGCTCTCAAACTTGAACTATGCTTCCTAGAAACAGCTAATAAATAGTAGAAGCAAAGGCAGGGTTGGCCAGCTGCATGCGAGTGGCAGTTCAGTTCATGTTGAACAGTGCTTTATTGAAGGTCAGTAGGTTTGGTATGCAGAGGTTCCAGTTTTGATTTGGATGAATTCATACCACTCCTGAGTTTGAACTAGCTCAAAAACTAAAGTCTGCTGAACTTGCCAAGTTTAATCTCTGAGCCATATGAGGTTAATGAGTTCCACCTGATTTCTGCCCAGAATCCTGAATATGATGCTTAGGAAACTTGGTCCAGTTCGCTGGGAGGTTTTGGAACCTGGCTCAAATTTCTGATTTGAATAAAAATCTGAAATCACATTAGTTTTGCCTGGTTTCGGATAACATGGAAAAAAAAGTGAAGAAATTTGTTATTTTCATTTTAGGAGGGAATTTAGTTGTTCACATCAGCTGGGTTTTCTTGGTTGCTTAAAAAAAACAACTGAAATATGTGATTTCAAGTTTTAACAAACTACAGGAATGAAACGGGAAAATGACAGTGAGGTCTCTGATTTGCCACTGCTTGGGCGCTATATGTCGTCTTGTACTTGTTCTCCTGTGTACTGCATTCATGTGCATGCAGACCTTGAGGAGTGTTTGACGGGTATAGGAAAGGTAAAAGATAGTGATATGTTTGTCCTTGCATAGGATAGAAAACAGGCACAAAACAGAATGGCAGCTGCTGTACTAAGGGCCACCTACCAGCCCCAAGGGCAAATACTGTTGACTCAGTGGCTTTAGAATTTGGCCCTAAGTTAAATCTTTTACCAAAAAGGTACATATGCTGGGATGTGCAAGCTGAAACTCAGAGTCTCCAGGTTGGAGTTGTTGCTATGATTACATATGTAGAATGTGGCTTTGAGTAGCTCACATTCGTTTTTAATTTTCATGGACTAACATCTGGGCTGACCAGTCTCAAGAAACCCATCCCCATGGACTTGCTGAAACAAACGAGGACAAACTATTGCTCTGGATCAAATATATGAATACTAGGGTTGAAATGGTAAATGTTGATTTCGTTAAGAAGATTCTATCTTCACTTGTAGGCGCAGGAGGTTTCTTGGAGTTACCGCATAGTCTCCTCTTTAGGGATCTTCTTGCCATTTGACTAACCGCAAAAGACAGATCAAATAAACTAGGGAAGAGAATTCAGACTATAAAGAATGTTAATAGTGAATGAGTGAAACTTAGAGAGGCTATAAACCCACCAGCCACTCTGAAAAAGACTGCAACAGCACTCTGTGATATAGCCAAGGTGCACTTCTGACACCCCTGTGAGACAAAGTTCTGCTTCCATGCCATGGCTATGGTACAGCCCTAGAATGTGGAGAGCACTGGGTGGAGAAAATGAAGGGAATATGCTAGATGAACATTTGACTAAAAGCTTATTCATTGTGCTGCGTTTTCTCTCTCCTTCTTAAAGAAATGAAGCCTTTCTCCTTACTGACGCAGACCTGCCCAGCATTAGCATTACCATCTACATAGGTTAAAATGAGGACAACTATTGTTCACGTTCAGTGAGTTTCAAACTTTTTGCAGAAATGGCACAAACCAGCAAGCTGTGCTCTGCCCCCTGCTAGAGCAAACCAAACATATTACTACATTTATCAGTATGCCTATTGCCAATGTATATTTTAAGGGAGACAAAAATGGTGAATGGCGATCACATAGGACCATAGCAGACAGTTTGTTACTAGAGAACTGAATCAAAGAATTGCAGGGAAAATAGAGCTGTTGACACAGGATTGTGAGAATGCAGAGAGGCAGTCTTCAAAAATACCTCCTGTGTCAAGAATTCATGTTTTTAATAGATCTCCTGTTTGTCTACTGACCTTACTTAAACCTCACTGTCTGCATGACATGCAACTTATCTGCTGACTCACCCAGACAGTTTAATTTCTCAAGTACGTAGTACAGCAAAAGATTCACTCCATTTCCCCTTTCTGGACTATCATGAAAAGCTGATCCGTGCTCTTTTGTAATGCAGTGATAGTGACATTTACCTCTTTGAGTGGTCCTTCCCCCATTGAAATACATACAACAGCTGCCTCTTTTGAGCTTCCTGCAGAACATTCTGAGGGTTGCAAATCAGTGCCTTCATGACAAGGGCTGCTTGCCGGCTGCTCGCCAGCTGTAACACTGCACTTCGCTTCCAGATGTGAGAGTTGTCATTGCAGACAACTGTCAGACACAGAAAGACCATGTAGACTAAGAACCTGTGACTGAGGAAAAGCAAAAAAACAAGTCTAGCACACTATCGTGTGAGCTAGAGGTAGGCTTTGATGAATCTACTAGTGGAATCTAGTTCCAGAGCTGACGAGCTTCTAGTCAGCGTGCACTATTGCCTTCCCATAGGAAAGGCAGAAGGACACATTTTGTATTAGCTAACATTTCCAGGTGGCCTTCAAAGACATTGCTAAGTAAACTGTATATCATTCATCAGCCTGGAGGTGACAAGGACAGGAATAAATGGGCAAAATCCTTACTAGAATGAAGAACTGCATACCCCGTGATTAGTCATACAGATTCAGTGGGCCTTTGCTGTCACCTGAGAGAAGTAACAGAACAGATAAGATTTCGTGAGGTATACCAATGTATAGGAAGCAGGCTTATCCCTATCATTTCTACAATATGCTTTTTCCTCTCTACCAGCATCGCCTTTGTATTGCCTGGATTGGTCCTAAACTAGCTGGGTTTCATCCAGGCTCTGGAAATGCTAAGATGACAGAATCTAGGAGGAGCAATAGAGTTGACAGTAGTCCATTCACTGATACTGCAGACTGAAATATGTCAGTCCCCTCTAATGGCTCCTGATACATGGGGAACAGGAGAGACAACAGCCTGGTGTGATGACCTTGCACTGCAGAGCTTCAGGAAGGATAAGCAGGGAATCTTCAGAACCTTCTGAGATCTCCTTGTAAGGAGGAAATGAAGTTAACCTTCAGCAATCCCATCCACCCCACCGGGTCCTGTGTACAGTCCAGCAGCACCACTACAGGAATCATATCCAAGGACATTGAGGGAACTGATAAAACCAGTCTGGGTATCTGACCTCCATACATCAGAGTAGAGCTTCAGTTTAAAAAAAAAAGTATCTTGTGTTTGATGGTATTTCCTGATCCACATTTGTATTAGTTAGTTATATAATTGCTCTACCCTTTAATGCTTGTATTTCAGCCTTGAAGTGGGGACACTAGGGAAAATATTGGAGGAAAAGAAGCTGGGTGCAGACACTTGGTTATTACTAGGGCTGTCGATTAATTGCAGTTAACTTAATTAAAGAAATTAATTTCGATTAAAAACATTAATTGAGATTAATTGCACTTTTAATCACAATGTTAAACAATAGAATACCAATTGAAATTTATTAAATATTGTGGATGTTTTTCTACATTTCAAATATATTTATTTCAATTAAAATACAGAATACAAAGTGTACACTGCTCACTATTATTATTATATTACAAATATTTGCACTGTAAAAATGATAAAAGAAATAGTATTTTTCAATTCACCTAATACAAGTACTGTAGTGAAATCTCTTTATTGTGAAAGAGCAACTTACAAATGTAGGTATTTAGTTACATAACTGCACTCAAAAAACAAAACAATATAGGCTCTAAGTTTTACAAGTGCACTCAGTCCTACTTCTTATTCTGCCAATTGCTAAGACAAACAAGTTTGTTTACATTTACAGGAGATAATGTTACCCTCTGCTTATTTACAATGTCACCTGAAAGTGAGAACAGGCATTTGCATGGCTTTTTTTGTAAGCCGGCATTGCAAGGTATTTATGTGCCAGATATACTAAACATTTGTATGCCCCTTCGTGCTTTGGCCACCATTCCAGAGGACATGCTTCCATGCTGATGATGATCGTTTAAAAAAAAAAAGTGTTAATTAAATTTGTGACTAAACTCCTTGGGCGAGAATTGTATGTCTCCTTCTCTGTTTTACCCGCATTTGGCCATATATTTCATGTTATAGAAATCTCAGATGATGACCCAGCATATGTTGTTCATTTTAAGAACGCTTTCACTGCATATTTGACAAAACGCAAAGAAGGTACCAATGTGATATTTCTAAAGATAGCTACAGCACTCAACCCAAGGTTTAAGAATCTGAAGTGCCTTCCAAAATCTAAGAGGGATGAGGTGTAGAGTATGCTTTCAGAGCAACTCTCTGATGCGGAAACGACAGAGCCAAACCACAAAAAACGAAAATCAACCTTCTGCTAGTGGCATCTGACTCAGATGATGAAAATGAACATGCGTCAGTCTGCACTGCTGTGGACTGTTATCAAGCAGAACCCGTCATCGGCATGGACACATGTCCTCTGGAATGGTGGTTGAAGCATGAAGGCACATATGAATCTTGAGCGCATCTGGCAATGCTGGCTATAACAGTGCCATGCAAACACCTGTTGTCACTTTCAGGTGACATTGTAAATAAGAAGCTGGCAGCATTATCTCCTGAAAATGTAAACAAACTTGTTTGTCTGAGCAATTGGCTGAATAAGTAGTAGGACTGAGTGGACTTGTAGGCTCTAAAGTTTTACATTGTTTTATTTTTGAGTGCAGTTTTTTGTATATATTTCTACATTTGTAAGTTGCACTTTCACAATAAAGAGAATGCACTACAGTACTTGTATTAGGTGAACTGAAAAATACTATTTATTTTGTTTTTTACCATGCAAATATTTGTAATAAAAAATAATAATACAAAGTGAGCACTGTACACTTTGTATTCTGTGTTGTAATTGAAATCAATATATTTGAAAATGTAGAAAACATCCACAAATTTAAATATATGGTATTCTATTATTCTTTAACAGTGTGATTAATTGCGATTAAATTTTTTAATCGCTTGACAGCCCTAGTTATTACTATTTCAAGTGTACTGCTGTTATGGGAGAAGGAATGTGTGCTCAGACTGTTGCATCCATATCTAAATTTTGTTGTGTGATTACTAATCAAAACTTTCCTGGGGAAAGCTGCTATAGGAAGGGAAAAAACAGCATGATTGTATTAAAAAGGGAGAATCAATGGTAGAAAAAGGATCGGGTGTTAGGGGTGTTAGGAGTTCTGTGCTCCATTTCCAGCTGTGCCACTGTCTATGTGACCTGGATCAACTCACTTAACACCTCTGTCTCTTTCCTCATCTGTAAAACAGGGAATATACTTAACTCACGTGAGATGATGGAAGCCTTAGTCAATGTTGGTAAAGCTTCTTGAGATCCTCAGTTGAAAAGTACCAAAGATGGAAAAATTAGTGTTAAGGTTTATTCCAGTAGAAGAAATTGGAAGTTTCAGACTCTTATGTGTCTCAGAAGGAAGGGAACAAACTCAGTTTTTTTCCTCCTTTCCAAGTTTTCCTTCTGAGAGTAAATCTTGATTATACAATTAGCAGAATTTCTTTTGCAAGTACTCCATTACAATATTCCTGTTAAACTCAACAGTACTTTCAGGCATAGGGTTGCTTGCAGAATTGGGACCACGGTTTTCAGTTAGCAAATAAGTCTGTAAAAGATTATTGTGCTTTGGAAGTATTTTAACTGAATTTTTAAACAATAGTGCCTATTCTATGGAATCAACAGCATAGGAACAGCAGAGCAGTGCATGTTTTGTTTTAAAGCACACTACATATTGTGCTATTAATTTTCTTTATTCTTTTTTTTTTTTTTGCTACAATTATAAAAGATGAGAAGCACTATGGGGTCGTGGAAATGCTATTTAACGAAACATTGGAAATTCCATGCCTTGAGAACATGACTTCTGTAAATTTGTCCAAGTATCCTTTGAAATGGCTAATGGTAAGTATAACTACCCTCCATTACTGGTTTAAAAAGTAAGGAAAAAACATAGCAAATAGAAATGTTATACTTTGCACAGGGGACTGCAAACAGTTAAAGTAAAGTTTTATTAGACAAAAGATAAAGGTAACATCAGTACCTGAGTAAACCTCAGACTGTGACAACTGGGAGGAAAAGCTAGAAATGCAGTGTCTCCAAGGTGACAAGCGGCATACATATCACCGGAGACAGTGTTAGAGAACAAAGAAAAAACATTGCTATGGTGGTTTAATTTTTCACAAAATAATTGAAACCAAAAAGAGTGTTGGAAAGGGTAGTGAAATTGGTAAATTGAATAACCAAATTTAAAAAAAAAAACCTCTGCATCATTTTTTTTTAAAGTTGTTAAATTCTTGCTTTGTTGGAGCACTACAAAATGTTCAACATCATGCAGGGTTATCTCAATGGCTCCTGGTTGTTTGATAAGTAACAGAAACAGAAAGTGAGACTACATATGGATATTTTTGCTCGCTGCTAACTTTCAATTTAAGAATGGGGAGAACAAAAGAGCTCTCAAACACAGTTGCCTAGGCATGTGAAGCCACATACAAAACAAGTTTAGAAGCTCTTGGCTTGGAGTTGAACAAGTTATTTTTTGCATTGCATGTTACTTTTTGCAGGAAACTTTGTCTTGAAAGATTACTTTCAGTAGTTCAAAGATGAAGATGAGCATACTATGTCCTTGGCACTGCTCATTAATTTCTGTACCTTGTTTGTTCTTTTTGAGGTTTATATCTGTTGGCACCTGTTACTCTTGAAAAGCTCTAATTGATAGTGTCTTTGTTATGCTTATATTTGAAGGTCAGATTAAGTTTTATTTTCTCCAGTAGCTCTATCCCCTTTGGCTATCCATTTGGATCGCCTCTTCTTTGTACTACATTTATCCTAAACTTAGAAATTTTGTAGGGCAAGTCTGCACATTGTGCTAAGTTATATTTGGTGACGCTAATTCAAACTATAAATTGGAAAAAGGAGCAAAAGTTCTGCATTTCAGAATGTGCAAGTATATGGCACATGTTGAGACTGTATGTGTACAAACGCACATAGAAAGGGAATCAATCTTCACTATAGGCATTTTGCTACTAGCTCTGGCACACAGGAGTCAAAAGAAGATGATGAAGTTTGGTTTTTCAATTAGTTTGGTGCAACTAGAAATAAAAAAAATAAATAAAAAGATTAAGAGAAGTCTCTATTTTTTCTCTAGTCTTAAATGTGCTAAAGTTGCTCAACACTGTGTGGAAGGGTAGCTGTAGGTGGGAAGGACACAGTGTGGTTCATGTCTAAGCCACGGGACTACAATTCAGGAGACTTGATCATAATCTCGTCAACCAGCTACTCTGTGTCTATTTCCTCCATATGTAAAATGGAGATCATGACCATTTTTGTGACATGCTCTGAGATCCAAGAATTGAAAAGGCTATATGAATGCTAAGCTTAAATGTTTCAACTCTAGATTGATCCCTGAGGCTTTGACTCAAAGAAGGTGAGAAGTAAATGGTTCTGATGGAGGGAGGGAGGAGTTCGTGACTGGAAGAAACATCTGTCTGTGTTTTAAACAGGGGGAAAATGGACGTGAAGAAACAACTCTTATAATCAAAGAGTTCTACCACCAGGATGTGAATAAGACTGATAGCCTGTTGTATAAGGAAAGAATTCAGCTAGGTCCAGACAATGCACTAAAGATTTCCCCAATCAAAATTGTTGACGATGGCAAGGTGTTCTCTTGCCGTGTGATGTACCATCCTGAAAGAATCCTGACGAACATCACCAAAGTGAAAGTATTTGGTAAGCGGTTTATAACGACTCTTCCTTTGTGCATTATAAAGACTTTTGATTCATGGTATGCAGACAGCCATTTTATTCTTGTGAATTACTTCAGAAAATAAATCCACATTTCTTAACAAACACTTAAGACCAAATTTCCAATAATTGGTGCCAACACCTGCAACACCGAGGAAAGCATCTATGGAAAGTACCTTACTAGATATACATATAGAAACTCAACATGCAAACAGGTGTGTAAGTAGCTCATCTGTATGTGCAAGTTTGCGTGGTAACAGTTGGGCATTCATGCACATTCACAGTCAAGCTCATTGTGCCCTTGTTACTGAGATCATATAAAATTTTAGCCCTTATTGGCTTGTGACCAGTTCAATTGGATATCATGGCTAAGATTTTAGTAAGTGATTAGTGGTTTTGGGTGCTTTGTTTTTGGGGGTTTTTTTATGCCTAACCTGAAACACATTAAAAGGGCCTGATTCTCAGAAAATTACTGATCCACCCACCCTCTGAAAATCAGAGCCTTTTAAGTTGTCACAGACTGGGCACCCGCAAAATGAGGCATCCCATATCACTATTTTATCAAATCTTGGTCTGTTCTGTTTCAAATAGTGTAGGAAATCTACTGCTGAAATACAAGTGGACAGCATTGTTTGCTGTGTCAAAGACATGGGGAATTGTGAGGGGGATTAATTTGCTTATAGTACACTGAGTCTTTGAAGGTACAACTCCAGGGTTGCTAAAATGAATGAGCATCTTGTGGAGGTACTGTCAACATATCCATTATATAACCACCTGCTCTCAGGAGTCTCCAACACATCTCACACTGGGCCGATGTGCAGAATGCAAAGATTCAGCAGGAAGCAATATTTTTTGAAAAAGAAAACTCTTTTGGGCTGTCTCACGCTGAGGTGAGAGACACAAAAATAGAAATTTATGGTCTGAGATTTCCTCTTGTGCTTGTGTGAGTCAGAAATAGCTTTTATGTTTAAAAAGTGACATTTGACAAATAATTAGTGTAACCTGGATGGTCCCTTGAGCACTGAAAAGTATTGAAACCACTGCAATTAGAATAGCCCCTTGTTCTGCGTATAAGTTAGACATTAATATCCTTTGCTTGCTGTTCTTGTAAACTTGTGTCGGAGTGGCTGTGCACAGAGACACGTACACCAGCATGTTAGCAGGAAATGGGAGGGGGCAGAAGCAGAGCAGACTTGAGAACAAACTAGACAAACCAAAACCTTTTG